TATGGAGAAGGCAAATCCAATTCTAAATGCTTTGGTCTGGGAGCAACACTTACTGTTTCATTCATATTCCATTAGCAAAAACAAGGAGGGCTGGGCCCAGCCAGCCTAGCTCAGTGGTTGAGCATTGACCTATGAACCAGGTGGTCACGGTTCAAATTCCCAGTCAGGGCACATGCCCGAGTTGCAGGCTTAATCCCAAGTGTGGGGCACGCAGGAGGCAGCTGACCAATGATTCTTTCTCATCATTGTTTCTCTCTCTCACTCTCCCTTCCTCTCTGAAAACAAAACAAAATAAGGAGGACTGGGATGTTAGACTCTGTGTGGACAATCACTTCTCAGTGGCAACTCTACCATATGAAATGAGGAGCATGCAACTCAAGGGGAGAGCTAGCTGTGTCCGCCACATTGAGAGAAATAATATTAGGATATTATTTGGGTATTATTAAATGTGAGAATTATGTTAAGTGTTATTGCTAATATTTTTATTTAATCCATACAATAACCATGGATGTAAGTGCTACTATTATCCACATTTTGTAGGAGAAAACTAAGTCCTCTAACAATGTAGACATATTCCCAAACTCACACATCTGGTAATTGGCTGAAATCCTATAAATTCTAAATTCAGTACATTCTCTTGTTACTCCATAAAGAAATGAAGGATGTCCTGAATATAGGAGGCAGAGCCATGCCATGGTGGCTATAACCAGTGAAGAGGGTGGTTCTTGGTGAAGCTTGCCAGTTGGGCCCAGGACAAGGTCTGGATTGGCTAGGAAACATTGATGTAACCACTCAAGTTTCTTCCCAGGGTACATACATGGTGAGCATCTGATTGGGACTAGTGGGGAAGAGGCAGGTGTTGCTTTGTTTGGGATTTTGTTTGTTTGTTTGTCTAATAATAGAAAACCAAAGTATTTATATAATCATTTAAACCCTATCAGGTAGGTTCTGTTAGTATCATATTCATTTTACAGATGGGCTAATTGTGGCTCAAATAAGTAACTTGAGGTCACACAGCTAGTAAGTGACAGAACTAGTGCTCAAATCCAGGAAATCCAGCCCCAGAGCCCTTGCTATGTTGCCTTTTGTTTACAATGAACGTAAAGAAGGAAATAGCAAACAGGATCCAGTGGGAGAGAATTGTCAGAAAAAGTCACAGTCAATGGGACATTGGGACCCACCATCCCTGGTTTTCTATTATTAGACAAACAAACAAAATCCCAAACAAAGCAACACCTGCCTCTTCCCCACTAGTCCCAATCAGATGCTCACCATGTATGTACCCTGGGAAGAAACTTGAGTGGTTACACGAATGTTTCCTAGCCAATCCAGACCTTGTCCTGGGCCCAACTGGCAAGCTTCACCAAGAATCACCCTCTTCACTGGTTATAGCCACCATGGCATGGCTCTGCCTCCTATATTCAGGACATCCTTTCCTGTGGACATGAGACCCACCATCCCAGGACAGAGGAGAGTCAGGGAGAAATCCCTCTGACCAAACTAGGTAGGAATTGCCACCAAAATCAAGGTGCATTCAGATTCCCAGCTCCACACCAGAGTCCAGTGATCCACTCTGAGCTTGTAGGAACACAATTGGGAAAGTGAAGGCTTGCAAAAGACAATGGGCAACAAAACAGCCTCTGCTTTGTTCTTCATCAGCTGAGGGCCCTAACTAAGGACCCTCATAAAACAAGCCATCACCTCATTCATTATAATCAACCATTTCTGCTATGATTAGACAGTTAGACCAAGTACACCTGCAATAGCCAAGCAGCGGGTCACATTTACATGCGAAAGAAGTGCTCCAAGAAGGCCCAGCAGGAGGGGGTCTGGTGTGGCGGTGAGGACTTGAGCTCCGGGGTGACAGGCTTGGCTAGTCACTTAACTTCTCCAAGCCTCAGTTTCCTCATCTGAAAACAGAGGTAGCCACCTCCATCTGGCAAGGCTGTGGCCAGATAAAGGAGATGCCACTGGAAAGCAATAACACAGGCAGAGCCTGGCACGAGTCAGGGTCAGTAAGTGGCAGGGCACAGTGTTATTATTAGCGGCGCTACTTGTTATGAATTATAAACAGGGTGGGAAACAAGCAGAAGTCAAGTGCATTTTAAAGACACACTGAAGGAGAGATAAAGGCCAGAGAAGCAGAAGGCCCTAAGAAAAGTCCATCACAGCAGCCATTTTATGTCTGCCTATGGCCACAGGAGCTAACGGATGTGAAAGTGTTCTGCAAGCCTCACTGCCCTAGGTGGCAGCATTGCTCTGTGATTGTGCAGGTCTCAGGCAGTGTGGGCATGGACATCCACACACTGTGTGCTACTTGGGCTTTTTAAAATATATATTTTTATTGATTTCAGAGAGGAAGGGAGAGGGAGGGAGAGATAGAAACATCAATGATGAGAGAAAATCATTGATTGGCTGCCTCCTGCACACCCCCTACTAGGGATTGAGCCTGCAACCCGGGCATATGCCCTTGACCAGAATCAAACCTGGGACCCTTCAGTCAGCAGGCTGACTCTCTATCCACTGAGCCAAACCAGCTAAGGACAGTTAGGCTTTTGATTCCATCTGCACATGGAGGCAAGTGGAGCTTGGCTGAATGGAGCACGCATTACAGGAGGAGGCACGGGTTTGTGTAATCCTAGGGGTTGGGAGAGGGTTTGACGTTATAAGCAAGGTTACCAAGGGCCACTGAGGACTATGGAGAAACCAATCAGAGCAAGTCACTAAGGACTCCTTCCTGGCTCATCTGCTCCCTGGAATACATGAGCCCACCCTCCCACCCATGATGTCTACATGACGTGGAACATACCACCCCAAATGCTAGGCAACTAGAGCAGGCTACCATTACATTCTAAAAGGCAGGAAATTATGACAAAAAGATATGAATAATAGCCTCTGTATGATGGGACTGTAGGTGACTTTTTCCCATTCTTCATTACACTCTCATCAACTAATGTTTAATGGGGGCCTTATGTGTGTGTTTTCCAACTTTTCTATGCTGAGTGTGTGTTATTTGGAAAGTCGGGACAATAAAATGAAATGAAAGCAAGACTCTCTCCCTAGTGGACCTGGCTGGTTTCATCAGCCCTCTGGGAAGGGGCATTCAGGCTCTGGCTGCACCAACTGTCCAGCCTTTCACCTGCATTTCTCCTTCCTTCCCACAGGCCTTAGGGAAATCTCCTTAACTGCCTGTGGGAGCCCAGGCATTCTCCCACTAACCAGCGAGGAGCCTTTGGTCCAGGAAGAGATGCGCCCTGGGAAAGAAACACCAGAACCAAAGAGGAAGGAGGAGCGAGGAGATTGCCTAGTTGTGCAGCTCGAGGTCCCAGCTATCACTTCAGGTACCTTCCCCGGTGTTGTTTCCATATATGGGGACATGTTTAAGGCAGTTTTCCTGCCAATACGTTTTGTAAAAGGCGCCGAGAGAACGTAAGAGCCGTGGTCCCCTTGGGAGCAGCATTCAGAAGGGCCTCTAGATGGTGAGGGAGAGGACCCAGCCAGAAGAAGGAAACACTTGACTCACTTCTGAGGCTTCCACATTCCTGAGGTCGAACCTGGAGTGCAGGGCTGGGGTTCCCTCTTTTCTCCCTCCTTTCTAAAGTCTCGGTGTCCTCCAGCCCTCGGTGCGGGGGGTGGGGTGGGGTGGGGGGGTGGGCGGGACACGACACACCTGAGGCTCCAACACACCTCGCCCCAGCATAGCCTTCCAAGGTTTAGCTGCAAAACCTAGCCCGGACTTACCCTCCTCCAACCAGCAGAGGGCGCGCGCCACTCGCGAGAAGGCGGGTACACAACAAGCCCTGGCTGGAAGTGGCCAGGCGAGGAAGGCGGAGGGGTCCCTCCTGAAAATGAGGCGGCAGATCCAGAGAGAACGATGGAGATGTTTGGTCAGGGCGGCGGCTTGTGAGTGAGGGTGAGAGAATGTCTGAGTGAGGGTTAGATGTGGATGAAATGGGAGACTGAGGAAAGGTTGAGTTTGTGTTGTGTGGAGATGAGACGAAGTAGGATGGAGGTTAGGATGAGATGAGGGGCAGGTGAAGGATGGGTGAGTTGGGAAACGGTGAGATGACCATGTGTGTTGGGATGAGATTGGCATAAAGTAGGGTGAAGGTGTGGGTGGAAGGCAGGGTGAGGCAGACTGAGGTCGGCTGCAAGGTGAGTGTGTGTGTGTGGGGGGGGTGTATCTGGAACATGGCACCTCCCTCTTGGCTGGGCCCATCGTCATGGGCTCCTCCCTCCCCTCCAGTAGCAAGCACCCCAGCCTCTTTGCCCTCGCTCTCTCCAGCTCTTCTTTGGCAGGCCTTTCTGCTCAGGCCTACGCTGGGCATCTCACTTCTTTCCTCCCTGAAACAAGGTTCTGGTGAAGCAAGGAATTGAGAGAGGAGGCAGCAGAGAACTTGGGAGCTTTAATGGGTCTGGGAGGGAATAGAAACACACCAGGCCTGTCCAGCCGAGAGAATAGAGGTGGGAGGGAGGGGCCCCAAAGCACGTAGGTAAGTCATAGGGGCAGTGGCCCTGACCAAGCCTGCTGAAGTGCCCAGGAGGAGAAGGTGGACTGTGAGGCCTCCACCCTACTGGGGTCGGGGCAGCTCCATGGGGAAGAGAAAACATGAGAAAAGACTTGGAATTCAAGAGAGGGGTCTTAACGGAGGGGGCTTGCCCGAGCCAGGCCTAAGCACAGGTGGATGAGAGGGAACAACAGGGAAAGCCGAAAACCTCCCGTCAGGGATCTGAGGTCTAGAAGAAGATGGAAGTTAGAGGAAGTGGGGGGACACGGTGACCCTCCCCTAGGGGTTGGGAGGTGGGTGAGGGGAATCAGCCGTTAAAGGAAGATTGAGACGGTTTCAGATCCTTTCCCCCGGGGCTGGGTGCGGCGAATGGAGTCAAATCTGAAGTCAAAGGAACGGTGGGGAGGCGTGGGGACTCCTCCCCAGGACGTAGATGGGACTGAGCGCAGACCTGGGCGTCTGGGAGAGGCCTCGCACCACCTCGCCGCCGGTCTAGTGGTAATGGCCCCCCAAGTGCGAGGCGGCGGCTACCGCGCCGAAGGGCCCGGGCGGGGGCTGCAAACCCGGGCTGGGGTAGAGCGCAGCGGTGGCGGCGGCGGTGGCGGCAGGGCCAGGACCCGGCCAGTAGGAGAAGCCGGTGGGCGCGACGCCGGCAGAGGCGGCCATGAGGTTGAGTTTGGAGAGGCCGGGGAAGGGCAGCGGGGCCAGGCCGGCCGGCAGCTTGTAGAGTGCGCCGTCCTGGGCTGCGGCAGCCGCTGCAGCCGCGGCGGCGGCGGCCTGGGCGTGCGTCGGGGGCGGCTGGCAGGCCTGCGCTAAGCCCTGGAAATCGAAGCGGTAAGCGTAGCGCTTGCCGTGCACCTTGCTCATGATGTTTTTGTCGTAGTAGTAGCGCAGCGCGCGGCTCAGCTTGTCGTAGTTCATGTTGGGCTTGCTCTTGCGCTCGCCCCAGCGCCGCGCCACCTCATCGGGGTCCGTGAGCTTGAACTCGCCGTGGCCACCCTCCCACGCGATGCAGCCTGCGTTGGCACGGTCCGCCAGCAGCTCCAGCAAAAACTGCCACAGCTGGATCTGCCCACTGCCTGTAGGGAGGAGGTCGTCAGCCACGGGCGGGATGGGGGGCTGGAGGTGGGGAAAGGGGTGAGAGGAGACGGGAGACCGACCCAGCTGGAGGGGCTGATCAGCAAAGCTGTCCTAGTCGTGACCACGCTTTTCCACAATAGAAACACAGCCTCCAGTTAGGAGGACCAAGGCCTGCCAGCGCCTGGCTTTGTGAGAACTGGGAGCAAGGGCGAAGCATCACCTCCTCTGCAAGGAGGCAGCCTTGCAGCAAGACACTGGGCTCCCTAAGGTGAGCAGGGACAGGATATCAGCCCCTGCGGCCACTTGGGCCTGAGTCCTAATTGGAGCAGAGCCGGCACAACCATGGGGGTAGCCTGTCCAGGTGTTTAAACTGCCACATCCCAGCTGGACCACATTCCAAGAACCAGAGAAAGGAGACCACCGTGCAACAGGACCACCCTGGCCACTGGACAACGCCCAGCCCCTAAAGGCATACAGTCAGTCCGCTGGCCACCTAAGCTGGGGATGAGATGGCGGCTGGTTTCTTTGCCACACAACTCAGACAGGAATGGGGACAGGGACCCCCAGGCATAAGAGGAAGGGCAGCTTCTGAAGGGTCTCTACCCTCTTATACCCCTCCACTCCCCCCGCCCCCCCACCCTGCACACTCCTCCCAGGGTCTGGTGCTGAATTGGTTGGGCTTCTTTTTCGGAACAGGCGGGATTCCTGGCCTGCAAAGTTGCCATACTTCCCCGGAAGATGCACAGCTCTGAGGAGAGGGGCTGAGACTGGGAAACCGACACACTTAGCTCCCTGTCTTCTCCCATCTTTGGTTCACCTCCAGGCTCTTCTGCCCTCTCCCTGTTCTGGGGTTGTTGGAAGTGACAAGAAGGTTTCCCCAGATATTAGTGTGAGGAGAGTCAAATGCCCACTCCCCTGTATTGGAGCCTCAATGAGCCAAGCAGAGACAAATCTTGATATACACCCACCCCCCACACCCTTTTAGAATAAAATGGATTTTCCTCAAAGTCTGATTTCATCCAGTCGAGCCTGGGGAACCTCTCTTTCTTTTTCAATGACTCGCTCAGAACTCAGATGCTGCCCCCCATAGTTTCAACCCCAATCCCTCCACAAGAGCCCAGAGAGGAGCTGCCTGGCTCCAGGTAGGGCGCGTTGGGTTTGAGGTCAGAAGCAAAGGAGGGTTTGGGTAAAAATGTGCAGCTGGTACAGATGCAGAGTGCCATCGGAGGCCTGGAAACGCATTCCTGATGGAAGTCCTGTTCCCTTTTGAATAAAACTGTTGCCAGCCTTGTTTTTATGATTAACTGCAACCATGAAATTTAGGTGCCGACTGGATGGGGAGCTGTAGGGAGGCTTTGCCTGCAAAGCCAGTCAAGCCCCACCAGCGAGGCAAAGCAGAAGGTAATGCAGCCACCCGTGGAGAGCTGGCCTTGAACATTAGAATCCACAGCAATGACCCAGGGGACTTGGCGGGAAAAGCCTGGCCACTGCGGGTCAGTGAGTCAGGTAGGTGCCAGTGGTGCTAGTGGTCAGGGAGTAAATCTTCTGGTCTCTTTGCCCAGTGGTGCCAGGGCCTTGTGCTCCTGTTGCCAGCAAGGAAAGGATGCCAAGTGCCTCAGCCCTGTCCCCAAAAGAGTGAGTGGGGGCCATGATCCTCTCCCGCAGCCTTGAGACTTGGAAGATGCAGGAGCTCAGGCCAAGTGAATGCGTCCCCCCCTCCCCCCCTTCCTTCCCACAATTATTCCCGGACCCTCCGATTCCTAAAGCCCTGCAGTGCACACCCCTTCCACCCTCTGTTCTGGTAGCGGTGCCGCCTGTCCTTGGGTGGATGCCCTGGCTCCCGTCCTCTATCTTCGCCCCCGACTACCCAGTCCACCAGCCAGCTCACCTTTTTGTACCGCAGGGCTCAGCGGCCCCCACCCCGGGCTCTTCCCCTCCTTGAAGAGACCTTCTCCGACCGGATCTGTGGCAGCAGAAGAAAACAGTCAGAGGGACCTAGGCGGAGGTTGCGGGCTTGACCCAAAGGGCCCTGGGGCCAAGGCTCCAGAAGGGGCGTGAGGCTGGGGGCCCGAGCTACCCGGCTCCTCCTCCCGGAGCCTGGCCCGGGCGGGCGCGCGCCGCGCTGAGCCCCTCCATAACGCCCAAGTCAGGAAACGCGTCCAGGAAAAAGGAAATCCGCTTTCCGAACGGGCCGGCGGGAGCCTTATAAAGCCGAGCCGGGGCTGCGTCTGTCGAGCCGGAGCGCGGGGAGCCCATCGGAGAGAAGAGGAGGGCGCCTGGAAGGCTGGGCCGGTGGGAACACTGGGAGCACGGAGGTGAGGAGCCACGAGGGTGCAGGGGCGGCGCCCGGCCGACTACAACCTCCCAGCGCTGCACGCGCACCGAGTCCCCACCACATCGAAGACCGCTGTTCCCCCTCAGGCTCTTTCAGCCCCTGAGCTGGCGCCCTCGGCCTCCCAGTCTCCCAATCTGCTCACTTCGAGCCTTCTAGACCTCACATGAAAGCCCCACAGCTCTCCATCTGTCTTTGCCGTCCTCCAATGCCCCCAGATGGCTCAGTCCTTCAACGATCCGAATCTCTGGACTGCACCCCTTCCCTTGGACCCCAACAATCCCTTTCCCACGCCCCAGGTTAGACTTCCAGCCCCGGGTCCCGGTGCCTCCAGCCCCCAGCTGGTCCCTGGTACCTGGCAGGTACATGTTGATCAGCAGGGGCTGGGAGGCGCCGCTCTGTCTCATCGCCGCCCGAGGCTGGGTGGTGGGAGGTTGGGGGGGGAGGGGTGAAAGAGGGGGGACGCGTCAGGCTTTGCGCTCTGGGGTACTGATCCCCGCCCGATGCGACCGCGGGTACTTGGGAGATGAAGACAGCGCCAGGTCCGGCAGGGCCTGGAGGGAGGGGGCTGGCCGGGTGAAGCGGGGATGGAGGGGGTCCTGGAGCCACGCTCCCAGCTACCAGGCAGCTTGGAACCCTGCGGCCCCCGGCGCGGGCAGGGGCCGCAATTTCCGTTTTAATTAAAGCGCTGTCGCCTCGGCCCCGGGACCCCGCCCCCGCCCCTCTTATCGCCCCATCGCAATAAAGTCTCCAACACGCCGTGCTGCAGCCAAGCGCACCCGGCAGCCCCCCGCGCCCCGCAGCCGGGAGACGCGCGGGGGATGGGCCTGGGCCTCGCGCTCTGACAGGGGTCAGGAGCGCGTTTCTTTTCCGCCTCCCTGAGTCTTAGCAAACATTGGTGGGGTGGAGTACGCGGCCCCACCTCGGACCTTCGGGGCCACAGTTCCTGCTACCCGACCATTCCCGCCCCCCTCACCGCTTCACTCTCCTCCCCCTTCTTCCTCCCACCCCCACCCGGGTTCCCGTCTCCAGGCTGCGTTATCTGCATCTTCACTTTTAAATTTCCGCTTCCCTCCCTCTCTCCTGTCGCTGCGCTCCCGGGCCGGGCAGCCGTGGCTCCCTTTATCTCCGCACCCCTCCTCCCCAAGCCTTCTCCCTCCAACTCCTCTCCCACTCTCTGCTCTTCCCTGGAGACCCGATCTCCTTCCCTGTCTGCCTTTCCAGGGCTCCCAGGCCTCTGGGCCAGCGGTGGGCGTCTTCCCCACAACTGCAGTGGGTTGCCCCTCCCCCCTTTCTGGGTCTCTTCCGTTTAGTCTCTCCTCCTGCCTCCACCCTTTCTCTCCCTCCTGTCTCTCTCCTCCTTTTCTCATTCATTTGTTCCCCATTAATTTGTGGCATACAGTAAGCTCATGAGCCCCCTTCCCCTTCCACCACAATGACCACTCTCCCAGCCTTCCCATTCCATGTCATCCCAGCCTACATCCACCCTCACAACTGCTGCCATCCTGGCTATACCTAAATCACTTGGGAATTGGCACCTTACTCTTACAAGAGTAAAGGGGCTAATACAGGGTTGTGTACTGTACAAGGCCCCCAACTCAGGGGGAGTGGAGGCTGAAATCCACTCTGAAAAAGTGGCAAAGATGCTGATTGTGTATTAGCCAAGCTGATGTGCTTCCTAGGTGGCTTGGAGGCTCTGGGCACTTGTGGGTCTTCCTAACTCTGGATAGGCTGCCAAGGAGGGGTGCTGGCTAAAGGCTCTGGGCCAGGAGCCACCTGCAGCCATGAAGCGCCTGGTGGCTACTGTTGGAATTGGTACTCTTCAGGCCTTTTTCTCCCACTACTTGAGCCCAGGAGGTGATGAGGCCTGGAACTCCAGGGCACATGGATTAGAATGGGCAAGTTTTCTGTAGGATCCTGGTTTGGGGTGCCTGACTGAGAATGGCTGGAAAGTCTAACGTGGTGGGTTCTTGCTGTCACTGCCAGTGTTTGTCTTACTGGTGGAGGGTGTTTTCTTAGCACTTCCCCAGACAGAAAGGAAGGAGCAGGTGACCAGAGCCTGGAGACACCATGGTTCAGTCACTTAATGCTCTCATCGGAGAGGCTTCCCAGAGAGAGCAGTCTATCCAGATATCCCCACTCTCAACTGGTGATGGGTCAGCATCTCAGGTCCTGAGCCCCTGCCTCACTGAGGACTCAGGTGTTAAAGGGGTAGGTGGGCTCCAGGAAGAATTTGTGCGGGTGTGGGATGGGGGGTAAGTGGGAGGGTAGGGGATGGGCAGGTATGTGGGGGTGGCAGATGAGAGTTGTCCTTTAATTAACCCCATCTGGATCTTGGCTAAATCGGTAAGGAATTGTCTTCCTCTACCCGCTTTGGCCTTTGGCTGAGTGCAGCCAATGAGCAAGTTCCAGGCAGGGTACAGGTCCCACAGGGTTCTGCAAGCCACCAGTCTGCCTGGAATGGGCCTCTGCAGCCCCAACACCTTTGTTGTCAGTGTGGGGAGCAGAGTCTGACCCCCAGGTCTGGGAAAACAAAAGTTGTTACAAATATTAGCTTCCCCAACTCCCTTGCTGTACAGGTGAGGACACTGATACTTAGAGACAGATAATGCCCTGTTCAGGGTCACACCGCCAGTTTCTGAAACCATCTTGCTCTTTCCAGCAGCCACAGACCCCCCCAGAGAGAGAACAGCTCAGCTGATGGTAGAGACCAGATCTCCCTTTGCCCATTGTCTGCTTCCCAAAACAGAGTGGGGAGATGGCCTGCTGGGCTCTGAGGCCAGTTTGTCTGGGTTCAACTCTGGGTCTCATTTCCTAGTGTGACTTTTGGAAAAGTTACATAACCTCTCCACCTTCATCTGTAAAATGGGGATTATACTACCTATTACACAGGGTTATAAGGCTTATACAACACAGGCTGACTGCTCAGACAAGGCTCTCTCTAAGCATTTAGCTATTGTTACTGCTACTATCCCCCAAAGAGACAGTTAGGAGCCTGTGACTAGGCAGGAATCCCAGGCTCCTTTGGGGCCCAGAAAAGTTTGGAGCTTTTCTGAGGCCTGAGGCTTTAAGCCACAGCTTAGGTGAGCCTCCACTTCGCATGGATTGGGGTCAAGAGCCCTTGTTCAAGTCACCAATTAAGTGGGTAGCCTCACTGAGACTTCTCCCTCTCAGAGGAGGTCCAGTTTTTTTTTTATTGGTGAAATGGACGAAGCATGGAGTGTTAGGAGAGTCATCTGCAATAGACCCCACCTAGAACGCTGTCCCTTGGTTTCTGGACCTAACTCTGGGATCCATGGGGGGGGGGGGGGAGACAGGGGAAGGAAAGGAGGGTCCTAATTGACTGCCCCAGTGCTTTTCCATAACACCACAAGCATTTTCAGGGGGTTCTCAATGAATCCTCCAAACATCCCTGTGACACAGATAAGGCAGGGATCACTAGCCCCAGTTTACAAAAGAGGGAATCGAAGCTCAGGGGTGGTATGTGATTGGGTCTGACTTCTGGTGTTCTGACTTCTAGTTCAGGGCTCTTCCCCCAGGGAGCAGATGCCCGACTGCACAGCTGGGCCCGCGGGGACTGCCAGGTCCAAGCCTGACTGTTTTCAACATCACCCTGCCTCCCCTCAGTTGGGGCAATGATCTGAGCCACCCCTCCGCATTGATAAGCCCACTAGGGTCTGGAAAACACAAGCATTCCTGAGGGAGGGACATGATGAGAGGAGTCCCCAGAGCCTCTGGGACTGAGGGTGTTATTACCTGGACAAAAGAGGAAACTAGGAAGAAACTACATTGGTGGCAGGGGCTCTGGTGGCTGCTGCCGCACTCAGTCCTGCCATGTCTGTGGGCTTCTGCTACCTGCTCCATAACCCAGGCTCACTGTAGTCAGTGGCTGAGGGGTTGCCTCTCCAGCTCACCAGTTCTCCTAAGAGTGGAAAGGAAGAGGAAGAATGAAGAGTGAGTTGTTTGGAACAGTAGGGAGGAGGGGTATGAAATGCTGGAGTTCAAACAATGTGAGGGATCATTATTATTCAGACAAAGGGTCTGGAAGCTCTGTTCAGAGAGAGGAAGTCTCCCCCTTCGAAGGTCCTGGTAGACAGTGAAACCTCCCACTAATTCCTCCTCTCACACTCTTGCTTTTCTGTAAGGCAGAGATTTTATAAGGCTGGGAAAAGGATGCAGGCTTCTCTAGCCAAAAAGGGAGGGAGGTGACAATAAAGACTGGAAATGCCGTTGGGGTTAAAGTTGAACCCAACAGAGCTCCTGCACAGAGGCCCTGCCCTGCATGATGGTGCCTGTCCCAGGACTGAAATGCAGCATTAAATCCTGCTGTGGAGCTGTGTGCACTCCAACCAGGGGATGGCAACAGTGCCATGTGGCCACAGTGTCCATCCCAAGCTGATGGGCCTTTACCGAGGAGTGGTGTGGGACTAGTTGTAGTTAACAGGATAGCCAAGACTCTTCCCAGCAGTTTCCTCTCAGCCCCATGAGTCTAGCCACACTCTAATTCAGTTATGCTCCATAATCAAAGGTCCTGAAGCCTGAAGGGAGAGTCAGGTTGGCAGGGAAGGACCCTCAGAAAGATGAGGATGGAAATCAGAAAGCAAGACACAAAAAAAGAGGCAAGAGGGCAGGCAGGTTCAGGAGGCTTTATTGAGGGTCCTCAGGAGAGGTGTTGGGGCCCTGTGGCCTATTGCTGTACTCTTCGAATGGACTGCAGCTGCCCAGTATGGACCTGTGTGCCAAATTCGCTGTAGGTATGGAGCTCCCTGCCATGCTAGTCCTGCTCCTATACATACTGGTAACCCTGGTAGCCTGGGTATTGGTAGGCCACCCACCTAGACCAGCGAGGGCAAAAGGGTGGTAAGTAGGCTCTGCCCCTGCCCCATCAATGTCCTCCATTAGTAGTAGTCCTCCTTTCACAGTTCCCAACCCTCAGCTCCAACACCATTGCTTTCCTACATAGATCTCTTCCTGCCCTGCTCACTGGTCCATATCTTCCTATCACCTTCCTGACCATGTCCCCTATTCCTGCCCTCCACTGCCTCCTCATCCAAGTTTTTAATATTTTCCCCATCCCTATATTGTTCCCCTGACTCCTATGACCTGCCCCTCCCTCCCAGACAATCTCCACCATTTCACTTTCTTCTGCTTCCCTCCAAGTCTCCCATCACCTCTCTTCCCTCTGTCCTCCAGTCTCCAACATCTCTCTTACTATGTCTTTTAGCATGCCCATTACCTTTCCTCACTCTCCTCTCTGTTCTTCTCATCTCCCTTATTCCAGTCCCAGGACTCACGCTTCAGAGCTGACTTTAAGGGAACCCACATCCCTACTGGCCCAACCTATGGAGGGCAGGGATGGGTAGTCATCACTGTGTTCAAACCTGCAACCCTGGAAGTTGTCCCCCTCAAATAGTGTCACAGGGCTGTCACTGTGGTTCTGAGGCACAGAAAGGTAGGGGTCAGCCCTCCAAAGAGGTGTTAATGGGTACATTCTCAGCATCACTCCCCCCACTTCACTGCCAACACAGGTCGTGCAGATAATTAGGCTCCACAAACACTCCTAGCAGTTATTCCATTAGCTTCCTAGCAGCCTGAAAAGCTGGGGTGCTCAGAGATTCCAAGTCTGGTCTCTTCTATGGCTTTGGATTCAGGTGGTTAGACTGAAGGGGGTGTCCCAGAGACCTTTCCAGGTCAGGGCTGGAAAGTATCTTGTGACATTGACCTGTTTTTCATGAGGAAAATTAGAAGTCTTGAGAGATCTGGTCCATTAATGAAGACAGTTTCCCTAAGGGCCTCATTGACTAACCCAGTCCCCTGCCCAGAACCCTGGGCAGCCCAACTAATGGGTTGGATGGCAGAGTCAGAACAGATAGGCCAGGACATCAGTGTTGGTTTGGTCTGGGCTTCCACAGGACCAGGTTCTTCCCCCTGAAAGGCTCCTTGGTCTCCTGGAATGGAGAAGTTCGCTCTCTGCCCTCCACCTCCCAATTCCTGGCCTCACCAGCAGGGTACCTAAGTCAGCACAAACAGGAAGTGAGATCCTCCCCT